TTTGTCTCTGATTTTATTTACTTTATTGAATTAAGAGAGGAATTAGGATTATTCCGGAATTTGACATGCCAGGTCATACACATTCCATCGCAGAAAGCATGCCAGAAATGTATGATATTCAATGAATGCACGTCTCGTTTATTAAAGCGATTAAATTAACATTTGATATTTTTAAACAGAATGACATGTATAGATGTACAACCAAATTGGAGTGATGTAGTTATTTATGTTTTACAGTTTTTAGTTAATATCCGTTGAACTAACTCAATCTAGGTTATTCTAACAACTTTATTTATTATTTTAGTTCGCCGCCGAACCACCAAGCGGCCAATTAAATCCTGCATTGGATAAAACTTATACTTTCCTTAATAAACTTCTTCCTGAATTAACTTCCTACTTCACCGACAAATATTATCATGCTGGTGGAGACGAAGTAAACTTAAATTGTTGGAATACAACTCCATCAATCACTGAATACCTATACCAGAATCCGGGTTCATCCATTGAAACACTTCTCGCTAAATTCATTAACGAAACTCACCAAATTGTTCGTAAGTCAGGGAAATTGCCGATAACGTGGCAAGAAATGATCGTTGATCACAATCTGACGTTGAAAACTGATACTTTGGTTCAAGTGTGGACTACTAAAGATGTAGTTAAGAAGGTTGTAAGTAAAGGATATAGAGTCATTACAGGGAGTAGTGATTATTGGTATTTAGACTGCGGGCACGGTGGATGGCTCGGAAATAATACTAATGGTAATAGTTGGTATGTTCAATAAACTTTTCTAATTTATTTTTATGAGGGTTTAACATTTGTGAAAACATAAAAAAAGAAACAGACTGAGCCTTACACTACAAATCCATAATGTTGATAATTTCATTTGTAGGTGCGATCCATTTAAAACTTGGCAAAAGATTTATTCTTACAATCCAATTGATGGATTAACCGATGAAGAAGCTGAATTAATTATAGGAGGTAAAGATTATTTTTTGTTTGAAAGCCGGATATAACATTTTTAACATTTATTCAACATTTTATCATATATTAACTAATCTTTTCGAAAATTTAGGTGAGGTCCTATTATGGTCAGAACAAGCTGATCCGACAAATTTAGAAGTTCTCTTATGGCCACGTTCATCTGCAGCTGCTGAAGTATTATGGTCAGGACCTTATGACACTTCTAAAAAAATTCGAACTCCAGACAAAGATGCATTAGCACGGTTAACTGACTGGAGATTTAGAATGGTCAATAGGGGTGTAAATGCAGTTCCATTACAACCTTTATGGTGCGTTCGCACAGGACGGTGTGATATACACTAATAAATGACTACTATTGTTACAATGGCTTGTAGAGTAGAATTTAGTGTGTTTGAAATTTATTAGAGTTAATATGTAAATGAACAGTTTTTGCTATTTAAGTGTCGCGCTAATGAATTGTATGGGCATGTCTGGAACAATATGAAATATAAAATTTGTAGCTTGAAATATACTTTAGTTCATTGTAGATTAAAAGCATTATCTAGTTTAATTTGTAGAATATTTACATATTGTAATAAATGATAATATGAACATTTAATGATTTAAATATTCTGATTTTTTTTTTGATATTGAGGCCTTGCTTATATCTTTATTAGTAATTTTTAAAATAATAACTACATGTTTTGATTTTTTTATTTAGAGTATAAACAAATAATTTGATAAAAAAAAAATAATAAATCAACAATGCTAATAAATGTACATAATTTTCATTATTGTTAGGTCACCGACCACTGCTTATATCCCACTTAATATTTATGATCAGGGGCATGGTTAAGTGTGAACTTGAAATCTCTATTCATTTCGTATTGCTTAAGCTTTCCAATAGCATCCAAGATGGGTTTTACGGGACAATCATCCGGTGCCCAGTGAACTACAAAATCACCCGGAACGTACAGATGTGGGAATGTATTGAAAGTATGATCATCTCTATCAAGGAGAAGTGTCTGTAAATGAATAATAAAAGAATTAGTTATTATGATGATGATAAATAATAATAATAATATATAATTAAATTATTTAGTCATGTTGACCAGACGAGTGGACTGAATTAAATTATAATGAACATATTATTGCCCACATATTGAATATTTGACTATGAAAGGCGGACGCTGAGTTTCTGATACATTTTAACTTACCCCATTTTTATAATCCGGACTAATTAAGAGTTCCCACATTGCACGTTGCTCCATCTGCCTGTTAAAATAAAGATCCCTTCGTGCTTGTGTTGCTCTTAAAAATTTTCGACTCCATTCTGAATTCCTAATCATAAAAACTCCCGCATTTATAGTAGCGTCTTGTTTAGGCCTGGCAACCACTAAATTAATCTTGCTAAAATTATCTTTTCCTCCAACCCTTTCAGTAAATTTCTCAAACAACCATTCGACAGAAATAGACTGATTTGCAATGACAGTGTCCATATCCAGCCAAAACACCCAATCGTAGTGTGGTAAAATTTTTTCAATTGAATCAATCTTCCCCCAGACGGTACGTCGGTGCTTGTAATGTGCTTGTTGATCAAATTCTTCAGAGCGGCCAATAAATGAATATCCATGTCTCCTAGCATAATCGCGTTTATTTTCTGCTAGAGTGTATGCTACTGGAAACATACACATGTTATCATACACGAAACTGCTTGTTACAACTGCTATGGATAATTTGTCATTCCTACGTGGAACAGGGTAGCATGCTGTGATTTTAGAAATTGACAAATGCGTGAATACGCTTCTCTTTTCACTTTCTAAGTAAACGTGCCCTACTCCTATCGTTGTTTCTTTTGGAACATTCTCGATGGCGTTCGACCATTCTATTAGTTCAGTATTGTCGTTTATGAAAAATAAATCGCTTTCATCGGTGTGTTTTGGTTCGATAAAATATTGATACGCCTGAGTTATGAGCTTAGGAGGATTCTTTTTTTTTTTCGTATTATTATTATTTTCTTTTATGAAATAATTAAGATCAAGTAAGGTGGTTATAGACTCTTGGCCGAGAATTATAAACATTTCGTCATTCGTATTGGTATCGAAATGACCCCATACTAAATTGGATTTCTGTCTAGGTGTCAAGGTTTGAGTGTTGATTACGGATGAATCCAGAATAGACATAAGTTTGCGAAGATTGATAATTGATTGGTCTTCCATAATTACTGCATAGTCGAACGTGATTTCTTGTTTCTCGAGTGATTGGATCTTTAATAATATGAATCAGTTATAAGAACTATAAATAAAAACGAACCAGAATACACGTGCATGTACACGTACCCAAGTAAGAACAGTTTTTTGCCAATTCATATTCGATTGATTTGGAAACTCCTCAATATCATCATATTCCACAGCTTCCGCCGTAAAATCTCTCAATACTTTTTTATCAGTTTGTTGATAAGGCTTCATCAAAAATCTGTAATATATTTCTCCATTTTTTTCCATACATGGTCTTAAATTATCTTTAATACCAAACAAATATTCTCTTAATAATTTTCTCGTCCGCATTTCATCGATGTGAGAAGTTATTACTACAAGTAAGTTGTAATGTCTTTGTTTTGTGGAATCGCCAGTAATAGGGTATATATTTGGATAATCAGGATATTCATCGGGGTCTGATGGAGTCAAAATGATATCAACATCTTGAATCACACCATCTAGTGTCTCCTCATGAGGACCAAGATACGTTAGAGTCTGTATCACTAGGAGAAACACTGTGGCGAATAATGCTAAATATAAACATGGTTTTCGGTTATAATGCCTTCCTAAAGATCCCCTAAAGACTGTCTCTCCTTGGCGTAGTGCCATTTTTGTTTGTTGAATTTCAAGCTTATAATATTTTCAATTGCTTTCTCGAATATGCTAAACAAGTGAGCATAGCGTTCTTTAAACCCGATTGGCCGATTAAGCGTAATTAAATCTTTTTTAAAAGCGCTAACCATATTAATTTTAGTATTATTTGATACGGATGTCTGTTTACCTTATAAAATTAAGGGGAATTTACAAATAAGGGCCCAGAAAGTGAAAATAATTACAAATACGGGCCCAAATCAAAAATAATTACATATAAGGGCCTAATTTTTAAAAAATATTACATATAAAGGTC